CGACGCCAAGTAACCTGAGATATTGACAGCGTCGTACATTAAACTAATTGAAAGTAATTCGTGGAGCTGAGACCTTCTTGAGAAGCCGCCAGTTGTGCAGCTACTCAAGAACTTCCCAACATTTAATGTAATCAGAAAGTTAACTTCCGTGTTCAAAAGGGCCGTCCACTGGTCCCTGTCCTGAGCCAGATGAATCCAGTCCGTACTACCCCATTTTTTCCCTCTAAGATCCATTTTGACGTTATTCACTTACCTACGTCTTGGTCTTCCCAGTGGTCTCTTTCCTTCTGGCTTTTCCACCAATATTCTATACTCATGCTTCTCTTTCTCCTTCGTACTACATGCCCAACCTATCTCATATTGCTCAACTTGATCATTCTAATTTTATTTGGTGAAGGGTACAGGTTATGAAGCTCCTCATTATGCCGTTTCTTCCAACCACCCGTCACTTCATCTCTCTTCGGTCAAAATATTCTCTTCAGCACCCTGTTCTCAGAGGACGTGCGGTAGCATAGTTGGTTTAGGCACTGTACCACAAGCCGGGAGGTCGCGGGTTCAATTTCCGATGAGGTTACTGGAATTTTCATATGATCTAATCCTTCTGGCTGCAATGTGTGTCGGAGATCGACTCATGAGTACCAGGAATCTTCCTTGGGGTAAAAAAGCGGCCAGCGCGTAAAGCTGACGACCTTACTGCCATCTGTGAGCCGACTGTAGAATTTGTGAGAGCCTCGGAGCCTCACAATTCTAGGGCCTCCACAGCCCGTTACATGAATAACTTTACCTTTTTTTTTACCCTTTACTGAAACACCCTCAGTCTATGTTCCTCCATTAATATCAGAGACCAGGTTTCCCACCCATACAGAACCCCGATCAGAAATATAGTTCTACATATTCTAATTTCTAAGTTTTTACAGAGCAGACGAAAAGACAGAAGGTTTTCAACTGAACGGTAGCAAGCATCACCCGAATTCAGTCTCCTGGTAATGTCCTCCGGAATCAAACTGATTTGTTACTATTGTTGCGTAGCGCATACCACACAGAAAACAAGTCACGTGATAACTATCTCTCCAGTACATTGGCGCTCTGTCTATTGCCTAAGAACAAGATATAAACAGTCGCCCTATTGTTGCGTGAAGTCGATCAAGCTTTTCCCTAGCTATACACGTTAGAGTACTTTCAAATCAATAAGACAATATGAGATGTGAGACAATGTGTGCCATAATCCACTGTCTTGCTTCCTTACAGCCGTGACAAAACCTTGGGGTCTAGAGACTTGGTTGCGCCCTTCCATAAAACAGAAGAATTTTGTTTTAGTGGGATGACCTGAATTTTATTCATATTGCAGACGGAGCCAAGGCGTGACAGATATCCCATTGCCCTTTATCCAGACAATGCAGATCGACATCAAGAATCCTGCTAGGAGAGAAGACATTAATATAAAGAGAGCGTTCACTCCATCGACTGGAGTCCTCTGTCCTTTCTTTGGTCTTCTACCGCGTTCAGCAATTTTAAAACGAGGATTTCACTTCCCCTCTTCAGATTACTTCATGAGGATAGTCTTAATTACTTTGTCATTCCGTAATTTGAGCGTCTAATCTCGACTGAAGAATTTCTCGCTTTCTTGCCCAAATATTGAGGGACTAGTGCGTGAGAAGTGATGGGACTTCTAACTCTGCTATTATTATAGAAGAAAATCAGTTAAGTCTTGGTACAGTTACAGAACATTGTGAACAATAGCGTGCTTTGGTTCCCTCTTAAAATATTCACTTCGAATTCGAACCTAATTATACGCCATGGAGTTAGGATGAAATTTTGTTTTTGACTAAAACAAGGGGAGAATGTTATTATTAGTTAATTACATGAGTTTCCTCTCGCTCTTTCCTTTTATTTATTCGAATTATGTCCCTAGGGCCACGTTCATACTACTAGAATAGTCATATACCTATGTATCTCATTTTACACTTCATATTTCCGGCGATTGGATAACCGAAAAATGAACTGCATCCAGAGGGGTCCTTCCTACGAAACTGACAGTCACTAACGTGCTTAAATTATCGGGCTTTCATGGGAATTGAAAGCTCATTATCCTAAATAAGATTAGAAGTTCGTTACGATTGTATATTAATACAATTATTGTGTTTCTAGACATTATCCATCGTCATGTTTAAAATGAAAACACAAGGATTCGGAGACTGGATTCTCCGCTCCGGAAAATAGGGACTAGCTCCATCGATTGGGCCCAACTGAGTAGGTTCCACCTGAAGACGAAGACAGAATCAATTCTCCGAATCGTTGTGTACTTTAAATAAAAAAAAGACAATGTCCAGAAACACAATAATTGTGTTCATTATCGTGGTCATAAAATCCCGCCACCGGACCTTGTCCTGATCAAATGATTCAGTCAACTTCCTGCAGATTTTTCCCTTTTTATTATTTGTAATATCGCACAACCATCCACACCTGGGTCTCCTAGGTGAACTTTGCTCTCCGATTAAAATTATGCATACATTATGAAATTTGTCATGCGTGCTACATGCCGCGTCTACATTAATAACTTCGAACATCAGCAACGACCTAATAAGCATTACCGTATGCCAATATTACGTCACACCGCAGGCACAATTTTTAATTAAAAGGAAAGGAATCTGAAATGAAAGACGCAAGAAAGACACAGTCTCTTAAACTCTAATTAGGTATTCAATGAAGAAGGCTGGATAGATCTGCATATCAAAGGAACTTCCTAATGTATCCTCTTCGCCAAATATTATTATGATTCTGAAACAAAAGAGGATAATAGGGGTGAGGATTGTAGCATGCGTCGGGGGACTGAGAAGGCATACACTATTTTGGCCGCAAATGTGAAGTGAGGAGATTATTTGGGAGAAGCGGGCTTAGACGAGGGGATATTATTAATTAAATTTTGAGGAAATAGTTTGTAAGAATATGGAGTGGATTCATGTACCTCAAGCTGGGATCCAGTGACGGACGGTCCCATGAAGACTATGGAAATTCTTTGCTGTCTGAACTTCACAAGAGTGACTGCTCTTATTGGACTTAGTTCAGATATCGGCCACGCCATAGCTCAGGCGGTTAGTCGCGGGCTTCCTACCGCGACGGTCCGAGTTCGATCCCAGTTTAGGTCATGTGGGATTTGTGGTGGACAAAGTGGCACTTTGGGCAGGTTTTCTCCGAGGACTTTGGTTTCCCCTGCTAATTCTCATTCCACCGACTGCTCCACACTCATCATCTAGCAACCGGGGCTGGTACAATAGGCCAAACAGTGGGCGACGTCCCAAGTGGAGCATCCCACGCGAAGAAACTATAAAAAAAATATTTCAGATAAAAACTGGGAACCACTGTGATGATTGCGGGTCTTCCTTAGTGTGTCGTTCGGGCTACGAAGCTGAATATATGAGAATCTATAGTAGACTGTTATGTTATTTCTTTTCGCTTCCGGGCAAATCATTGTTCCGCGAAGAAACGTGCAGTTCGTCCATATGCAACACCCTGCCTCGAGTCACGTGATTGGATAGCGCGCTGAGAACCCGCGTGGGAGGCAGAACTGTATTACAAGATTGTGACGGAAAAGCGGAAGAACAAGGGGTTGTGGAACAAAGCATTTAATTACCGAAAAACACGACAGAGAGAGAAGAGAGATAGAGAGATTGAAAGAATGAGAGACTGTCACTTGTGGGAGCTGAAGAACTGCGTATCTCCGTCTCATTTCTCTAATCGCAATATGAATTGATATAGCAAACTTATTGCTTATTAATGCGCGCCTATGTAAAGGCTGATATTTATTGGATTCGTATAATCTTAATGCAGAGACACCCCTTTCACATCTCGGTCAGAGATGCCTCATTCCTAGACTTGAAATGTTCCTATCTTAGACAAATTCCGAAGAAGTGCCTTTGGACAGAACACGACTGTCTCCTTTGAAATCCCTGGTTTCTCACCATTTGTGGTCATCNCCCTCCCACACCACTGCTTTCACTTGTTTACTTGCCCTTCCCCCCCTTCCCTCTCTGCTCTCTCGGTATATTCTTCAGTCTGCTTTACCGTTTCTCACGGTGTTGTCGCTTGCAGATTTCTTAAACTTTTTCTTCAACCCTGAAGGTGGGGGCGATACGTTCCTCCGAAACGTCGGTTAACACCACATATACACGGTGCCAAATCCCAGAAGACTGCTTTCTTCAGAACTTACTGTTATTTAACTTATCATTTCTAAGGTATGGTTGTCTATTTATTTATTAGTTACTTAACACTGTGGAGCATGACTTTCGGCTAAATAATAGATAAACATTAATTTCCTCTCTCTCTCTCTCTCTCTAAGAAAACACGCTATGTCTCCATTGCAAACAGCACCTACTTAATATTTAAGGACGTAATGACTATATATTCTGAGAATCTTACGTAACCACAAATACACTCATTCTTCAAAATGAGCCCTTTAGTCTTATTGCAGCCGGCGGATAGAGTTATAACCGGCCCTTAGAATTTTAAATTCTGAATTTGTTGTAAACAATATAAATAAAAACCCAGTTCATACCCGACAGGAAACATAATACGTTTCCACTACCGGTTAATGCTATTTAGGTCAACGTCGCTGTTTATTGTTGTGACCCAGGTTATTAATGGGTGTGATTAAATTTAACGACGAAGTGCCCTTATGTTCAATTTATTAAAAATGTACTATAAGTCTCCTAAATTAGAGTAAGTTACGTGAACCAGAGGCTGGCCAGCCGGAAGCCAAAGTTCAGATCAACTTTACACGTAGCACATTCCTCAAGCGTCCGGCTTCAGTTGAATTTTTCATAGAAAATGCTGACACATAAGGAGAACACAGAGACAAGTCTCGCTTTCGCACCACAGGTTATCGGCCAGGAGGAATTTGCCGATATTAGGATTTTGAGTGAACAGAATTTTCATGATGTTGACTTTTGGGAGCTAGGACAGGAGAAGCCGCTAGCACTCTGACGCTCGGAGCAGTCGACTTTAGAAATCGTGTTGTAGGAAGGAGACGTAATGGAGTCTCACGTCTCCATCTTTACATTCTATTGTAAGCGTGACTACTTGCCTGTGTTCTGTCCATTGATTGTTTGTTAATATTTGATTTCTGGTTCGCTGATTAGGACATGAATTTTGGTATTAATGGATAGTTAGGATAATATTTGATCAATAATTTTAGAGTATAAAATTTGGGTAATGAATTGTTAAAGTGTAAATTTTATTCCATTAATGTATTATTAAAATATATAATTTTTGGTTCAAGGATTGCTGGTTAAGATACAAAAATCTGGTGTAGTAATTACGTGTCAGGATATAATACTTGATTCACTAAATAATTGTTAGAATATATAAGGGTTGACTTATAAATCGATCATTAAGATATATGATTTGTTTTACACGTGTTCGTTAGGAGATATACTGTTTGATTGTTGGGATAAGAAATTTGTTTTTTACTATGTAGGTTTAAAACAATTTGGTTAACGGATTTTACGAGGTAATTGCAATGAGTGCAATAGAATATTGTGTAAATTTTATGGTTGTATGTATGTATGTGCCGGTCACGGTAGCCAAGCGATCCAGGGCATGCACTGCCTTCGCTCCCTCGGAAGCAAGGATCGTGGGTTCGAATCCCACCCAGGGCATGGGTGTTTAGTTTGTGTGTGTGCGTTTTTCTGTGTTTGTGTACAGGTAGAGGTCTTATGACGAGCTGATCACCCGCCCAAGGAGTCCTACCGAATTTGTAAGATCTAGAAAATCCGAAGTGAACGGAGAAGTTCATGGAGATAGGCCTAGGCCCACTGGTGCTGTAGTGCCAAGGGAAAAAAAACTTGTTGATTTGCTTATATTTGTTTTTGTTTTCATATGTTGAGTGTTTATTAGGATATTCGTAATAATTATGTAACTGGGTGGAGTGGGAGCTGTCCACAGATGTCTAACTGGTGGCAATTAGATGGGATATTCCAAATTCTGTTGGTGGCCGCCTAGGATATTAGAATAATTTGGATGTCGCAATTGTGCGGCACAATTTGAATAAGATATTGGAGTGCCTCACCCCCGGCTTGCACAATAATAAACAGGTAGAAAAGGGGGGTGGCACAACATTATTATGAGAACCATACGAAACACGCAAATGCACTCTACAGGCAGAAACAGAGGTTTAGTATGGTAAAGCAAGTGGTTCATGTAGGGGGCTCTAAAGGTGAAAGGGTTAACGTACGATTATCGACTGCAGTTCAGAGTATGAGAGTGGAACGCACCAGTGACCTTCTTAACACTGTGAACTTGTGTTGTGCCTTTTTGAACTGAAATGTGAGCCTTTCAAGTTCAAGGCCAATACTTCGTGGGTTGCGTCTATAGTGGGAGTAGGAGTCAGCTAGTTCTTTGTGGGATGTATCTGTAGTAGTGGTGGTGGTGGTGGTGGTGGCGGCGGCGGCGGCGGCGGCGGTAGCAGTAGCGGCAGCAGTAGCAG